GATATAAGATGAAGAAAAATTTATATTTGGAGACAAACGGCAGTCTGATCCACCTAACAGTGACAGAAACTTGGCCAGGAAGATAGGAACGAAAATGAAGTAGGGCCTCTGTGAAAATGGATGACTAACTTTCTATCGATTTCTTTCCACTTTCTTAGGAATCAGAGTTGTAAGATTCAGTTTGGAGCTCCCAGGTTTTTGCTCAGTAATTTTAACTTCAACTCAGTAACCTCTGTGACACATCTGTTTCTATTTATAATATGCAAGTCTAAAATGGAATTTGTGCTTCCTGCATGTCCTCTTATTGATTTGATTTTCTCCAACTACAAGAAGGGTCATCAGGTTTAATGCAGGTCATCAGGATTCACACTGATTTGTAAGTGAATGTAATACAAACTGATCTTAGGTGTTAAAAATCACAAGCTACAGCCTACAGGACTGTACAGACGGTCAAAAATATGAATAAAAAAATAAAAACAGGACACAAAGAATGCAATACTACCTATGCGCTGCTTCCCAAAAATAAACCTATTCACATATCAAACGAAAAGGCTTACAGTTAATCATAGTGGTTACGGCTGAATGCGCAAGAAGTCTACTAGATATGAGGCATCATACAGTATCAAAGCTGGACACAGCAGTCATGCAGTCATTTTGTAATCTCGTCACGCCAGAGGGGCTTTGAGGGCCAAAGAGAGCTGACAGTAAGCTTAAAAAAAAGTTTGTATGTGTATACACATACACACACACATTCGTATGAATGGATCCCCTGTGCTTCCAAGAGTCAGGAAAACACAAATAAGGGACTAGTTTGCACTGAGCAGGGTGTGCCCCAGATTAGAAAATTCAAGACAAATTCTCTACTATAAGATCATCTTTACAGCTGTGGAAGCATTGTGAAATTCACTCTCAGAAAACTCAAAATTGCACTATATCCAGATGTGTAATTATTATATCACACTGGTAATCATAATGGGAGGAAGAGATATTGTGTTATTTTTGGTATGACATAAAAAGTTCATGGCCACAGAATAGGCAGCTACATTTATGTTTCAACTTAGAGGGATTTTTTAAATTATTTCAAGACTTGCATCTTTGAGTTTTCCTCCATGCTTGTCACGTGCACTTTTTTTTTTTTTTAAACAAACAAAACCATTCTAACCACTGTTAATAATGAAAGACAAATCTCATGGGGATCATGAGTACTCAGCACATCTTAAAGCCGACTCCAAAATTAAAAGCCGGAGGGACTTCTTTTGCCTCTCTCTGAGGTCTTGCAGCAAATTATTGATTCTTGCTGATCTCTTTCCATTAATATATTTCTTTCTTATGGCCTGAGTGATTGTGTTAAAGTGCTTAGTAACTCTCTAATCATGTACGCCTCCTGGGGCTGAAAAGAGCTTTGGTTTTAAAAGTAATTTGTTTCAAATGAGGCCCTATGCATCCTAATGTGAGGGTCAGGGGCTCAGGGAAAAGAGAAGTGGTAAGTTTTCAGGGATTGTACCTGTGGCATCCAGAAATTTAAGCTGTTTAAGATTTGACAGAATAATAATTCAAATCTGTACTTTTAAAAATTACTTAAATCACAGCTATTTCCTATGAAGACAACCTAACCCAGTCTACAATAAAACTGAGCACTTTTGAACCTTCCTGCTCACCAAAACACATACTACTAGAATAAAAAACGTTATCAGGCCCCAGCCTCTGGCAACTTTAAAACAAGATTCGCTCTCAATGCAAAGTATGCAAAAAACTGAATGATGTTATTTAAAAGATTTTTTTCTCCAAATACTGCGGTCACAGTAAAGTCTTACCCTGGGCCATACAAGTTCCATGATATCCCTAATTTTCCCTCACCTCAGCCAACCTTCCAGGCGGAGGCCTCTGCTCAGAAAAAATGCATGGGCACACAGCAAAGTCTCCAACAAGATCTTCGGTGCCTGTCAGCATCCATCTGCTCCAGCAGCCAGCACCGCACCCTCCGGGACACCGCTGCCAGGGTGCGAAACACAGCACTCCGGTCATCAGTGCAACTTGTTTTGGCTATATTACATTTTGGATCAAGCCCAGTTCCTTTATAGTTAAAACTCAGTCATGATATCAAGACGTAATACAGGCACCACAGAATATTGCAGACGACGACAATTCCACCTACAGAGGACGAACAGGGGTTACGCACTCTTGCCAACCAAAAGCGGTTGCACGGGGTGTATACCAAAAGCCTTCTACTAAGCAGAAGGCTCAGCGTTTAGTGCCTTCAGAGCTCAAGTGAAATCTTCAGGCTTCCCCCTCCCCCCGCCCTAAACAGCAGCTCCCTTCAGCACTTTTTTTAAGGTCTTTAAGATAGGCAAAGGTTTTAGAAGCAAGAAAAAAAAAAGTTGAATTTCTGATTTGCTTTAGTACAAAGCCTTTCATACCACTTAAGCTGCAATTAATATTACTGATTATACCTCAAAGAGCTGGTGAACTGAGTCCTGGGGTAAACGCTTTCACTTCCCTATAATAAGATCTTTATATTGCTTTGCATTAATTTGTTTAAAAACCATCACATACAGGCTAGATGGAAAGTCCTGTCATACCCATTCACAACCACAGGTAGCCACAAAATCCTATGCAGCAAGTCAAAGGACACGTAGCAGAAGTTGCCACCACTGAAGAAAGGGAGCATAAGAACGTGAATACCGTTCACTAGAGCTGGGTTACAGGCACTTTTCCCCTCCAGAACTGCACTGTGATCCACCCACGTAACGCCAGATATGCGGCCTGCATATACAAATACAAAAGATCTTGTGTATGTTGCTTACTTCAAGCTCTTTGGATATGAATATGGATGTCATTTTAAGATCTGCCCTCTCCCTGACTATCATATAGTATTCATTTATCATTCCGTTGCCAGGTCTTTTAAACTCTTGCAATAATGCCACATGTAACACTGTGGTAAACTTAACCCCAGTCCAGGCAGTATGTATCTGTCAGAGTTCACATTATGCACTGAACAGAGCATCAGCTGATTATGAAGTAGAATTCTGCTTGTTCATCTTGGTGTGTTTTCTTTTTTGTTTGCTTTCTGACTCTCTCTCTCCCCTCTGATATTTCTGTTCAGTTCAACACTATCCAAATAAATAAGGTGCCATTATTCAAATTTTTACTTTAGCTAGACTAAAGCTCACTGTAGGTAACTATTTTGTATCGCATTACTCCTATTGCCTATCCTTGCAACCTGGCCTTCAGTCCCTTTAGCTCACACTAATGAACTATAGTGGTAGTGCTAGCACGCCTTCATTTTCTAGCGTCTCTAGTAGCAGTCCTGGGTGCAGCTTACATACTCAAACTATGTACAAGAATCAAGCTTTATTCTTATGAAACGTTACGATATACTATCATCTGCTCTTTAACTCCAAAATCAACTTCTATATTTTATTGTTGATGTGCACTTTTTAGTTTTTGCAAGCATAGTCCATGAGTCGTCAGCCTACAAGCTGCTTACGCAAATCTACATATGCCGAAGAGTAACACAGCCTGTGCCTTAGGAAACAGGGCTGGAAGAAGAATTTCAGGGAGCAGATTCACAAGCAGGAGCCCTTGTAACTGATGCAATAAGCAAGGTCACGTCTGGACGACTTCTCAGGTCAGATGCACAGCTGTGCTACTTCCGGGAGCAGCTGAACCCATTCTTTGGGGCAGCATTTAAACTAATAAGCTTTGACTGACCCAAGCAAAATCACTTAGCTGGACTAGGATACAAACCACGCTCAAGCTAAGTCGCTGCATTTTCCCCAAGCTGCAATCTAATAAAACCTTTCAAAAACTGGAAGTACAGAGGATTAACAGAGTAATAAGTCCTGAGCAGTCTAAGCAGAAACCACATGGACAGCATCTCTACAGCAGGCTTCCCAAAGCATCCTACACCTTAAAGATCTCGAGGAGATCTAAACCAAATTTTAGTCTGGAAAACAGAGAGATTTGGGTGTAAAGTTTGGGACCTACCTGGTGACTCCACTGTACTTGATGTTTAAGAGAAAAAAGTGACCACTAAACACGCAGAAGTTGGCCACTACTGCTTTAAATAAAGGGTTACTCTCTCTGTGATTAAATACTTTGGTAAACCATGGCTCAGAAAAGCTGCCATAAACACTGTTTCACGAAAGAGAAATAGACAAAGTGGTATAACTATAGGTAATACGCTAGTCTGGCACTAAACAGTAGCTATGACTAAAATAAGCATCTATTAAGCCAACGTTGGCACCTTTTGCAGTTTTCTGCAGCACACAGCACAATTCAGATAACAAGTCATACTCTGGCCTTTTACCAACAAAATGAAATATAGCAGGTGATCTATCTCTTTACACTGTAAAATTTTCCCCAAATGAAACTGGGCAGAAATTTCAAAGGAAGAAAAATATTTCCTTTTTCAGTGTACACAGGAAGTCAATTTAACTTTGATACAAACAGTTAAGATTGGACCCAAGACTTCCAGACGACTGTCCTTCCTTCTGCTTCATCCGTCACATCTGTTCAGCAGCATAAGGTGATTTGTTGGTGCAGGCAGAAAAGGGGCAGCCAGAGGTCACCACAACAGTCACTGAAGATAGAAGTTTATACTGCTACTTTGATGGAGCTGGTCTGACAGAGAAACCATGTATCTCCTCCTAAGACAGTCTGCTTCCCTAAATATATAGGGCAAACTACCAAACTATTTTTGCTCATTCAGGAGATATGTTGCAACTTCCAACATGCGAAACGTGATGAGTTGTTAGATTATTGGTAAAATCTCTAGCTGTCTACCCTGTAATAGGTTAAGCTACAGTCTGTTACAGATCTGAAGTAGAGGTCCTAGCTCTGTAACGTTAGCATAGGTTTCTCAGCAGGGAACTTCAGCTTTCTTAGATGGGCTTTGCTTTGAATCTAAAAATAGCAAGCACAACTGAGGAAATAAAACTGTTCTGAACCCAAATTCAAAACACAGGCAGTATAAATCACAGAAAACGAAAATTGCTTACTTTCAGAAAATTCTCATCTTCTGGACTTGGATGTTTTCCATTTAGTCAATCCACCCAGACATTCAATAACTGAAAGAGATGAGAATTTTAAAACATCTGTGTTTTATGCCGATACCTGTTAATTTTGTTTATGAGACCCTGCTTATCGTAACTCACATAATAGAGTAAAATTAGTTCCTGTCTTTTTCATTCACATATCATTGTCTTCAGGAGTCTTGTTGCTAACCGCAGCTAGTGGGAGTTTCTTTCTCTTCTTCTTGAAGAAAGAAGATAAAAATAAAACAAAAATAATAATTGAAAAAATCAGATAGCTAGCATCAGTTCTCTTACTGGCTAAAACGGGTATTAAATTATATTAGAGAGTAAATTTTAGTTATCTTTACTTTCTCTTTATAGTACTAAAGTCCATTTAATTCCATGCATACATTAGATATCAAATTACTTAATAGATTTATCAAGCATTACGTTAAGTAGTAGATGTTTTAGATGTTGTTGCCATCCAGAGGAAGATGCCTTAAGCACATTTGTGTGTGTGTATATACACATACATGCATGCACCCCCCTACTGTTACTTTACGTACATACCAAGCAATAAAAAATAAGGCTGTAATACTTAAATTTTAACAAAATAAAACATTTAGTTAAACATATACATAATTAACCAGAGCTCGTTGAATCAGTAAGCAGTATGTTAAGTGCATAGGTTAATATAGTCATAATATTTATATGATAGTTTTATACCATTTCCCCCCCACCCCCAACTGAGGCACAAACATTTTTACCCATTTTAAGAGTATCTCAGCCTACCAGCTTGATCTGATCATCATAATTCCTATCTGCTACCACAAACACACAATCACTGAAAATGAAATGTTCCACCTCATTTGACCTTTTCTTGTAGAAATATATTAAACATGTATAAAAATCGTACATTTGCTTTCATTGATTTCAGAATGTATTCAACCTGAAAGCAACAGAACATGGGCTTCAAGAGCTGTCAGACACTCAATTTGCTGCTGTTCTGGATACTAAAATGCACAGGGCTCAGAGAATAGCATAAACAAAACTACAGTTACATGCTCAGCATATAGAAGACCCAAAAGAGAATTCAAATACTTGCCAGTAGGTTTCACAAGTCTGATTTTTTGTTTATTCGTACATTTGCTATGCTAACTACTTAGAGACTATTTGTTTCCCCCCCTCATTTGGATATTAAATATTAATATATTCTGTAGTTATCTCTGCCTAACAGTTTATATGTGTATGTGCATGAACATGAGTATATAAATTTTTATATACACATCTACCCAATAATTAAGGCGTTAGTTCTACACATTAATCTATAGGCTTAAACACAGAAGTCATTTTATTAACTTCCAAGGAGACTACTCCCACATTTAAAATCAAGTATGTACTACACATCCTGACATTAACATTATCATAACATTATCATTACCAATGTTATCATTAACATTAACATTATCCTCTACATGGTATGAACAGATTTTCAGGCTTTGTAGGTCACCTTGTTACAGAAAGGGATATCAGTAATAAAGGGCAGGGAAGTACTGTGCATGCAACTTGTTCTTTTTTGCATAATAACTACCAGTTGCAGGACAAAGATAATCAAAAGATATGCACCTTACCTCTCTGAAATCCTAGCTCTGCTCATAACCTTGCTGACTAAACTAACTCAGATTAGAGAACGGGACAGACAGCTAACATTCCTCTTACTAAAAAAGGAAACGCATAACAAAACCAACGACAAAACTATCTTCCTAGAAACTTTGCTACGCAGAACTTGGTATACCAGCAACAGAGCACAACACGTTAGCTTCAGACTGAATCCTCAATAGTAACACAGCTAGCCTTCACATCCATGCCACTTACTGTCACTTGCTGCAGCCTGTATCCCCAGGATTGCAGATTTAAATAAACAGGAATTATCATAAGGTTCAAAGAGCAGGTTCAGACAGGTTCAGGGCTTTAGCAATACGATTTCATTCCATTAGCACATGGTGGTCCCCATCAGGATTTAACTAGGATTCTCATCATCACTTTGCCTGTGATTCAAGTAACTAAATTCTCATACGCCTCTACAGAAGCGCAGGGTCTCTATTTAGGCTATCTTAATGGCCTGAACAGAACTTTGTGCATCTTCTCAGCTACGTTAGCAGGCATATAACCTTTATTTCTTACATTTGAGACTTTGTGCTTGCCTTCTGTGGCCTTCATTCTGCACAATGGTAAGCATTTACTCTGCCATCCTCTCAAATTCAACGAGAATATGCCCTGAGGCAGTTTTTTTAATACATACATACATATATATACACATACACACACAGGGTATATATGTTACATGATAGATTATACACTTATTAAGCTATATCTGAGTGAGGGACAGTAGAAGAGTTGACTTGACTTTCAGGACAAAAGGAATAAAGATTAGAGATACTTTCCCTCCTTCCTTCTACTGCTACCTTCCTAGGAGTCCATGCTTATTCCAACTTAGACTTCCAATTGAATTGCAAATTCTGGAATTGCAAGTAGCTGGAGTTCTTTGAAATATTGAAACATACGTATTTCTTCCCATAATGGTGCAGGTCCTAAGCGTCTGAAAGCTTGTGGCTACAAATCCCCAAGTTTTCCAGGCTCCTGAGTGATTCCTTAGGGTTGTGATGAGGAGTGGCTAGACTGGTTTGGAGAACCATCAGTATTTGGATATCTTCATTCTACATTGTATCATAAATGATAGAAGAACATAAAAAGCCCCGTTTCTTCTAAATATGTAGCTAAGATGTTTAATTGCCCAAACAGTTGCTTTAATCCAAATAAGACTACTGAGTGGTTTTAAAAAAAAAAAATCACACTGCACAGGGAATATTCATGGTCACTAGATAGTCTCTTCTCCTCTTTCAAATCATTCTCTGTAATCAATTGATATTATTTTTCCTGATCACATCATTACTAGATGGTTTGGATAGAACTAAGAATAGGTGGATAGTTAAAAAACTTTGGCTCTCTCTTTCATCTAATTTTTATAATTGGTCCTAGTATTTAAATTTCTTATAAAGAAAAAAAGCCTATTATCTCATTCAAATCAGTATTTACCATTAAGTATACCATTAAATTAATTTGTAAAGATAGGCCTCAGACAAAATTAGAAATCTTGAATTATTCATGATGAGGTCTACTAATTTTACACTATTATTTCTTATGCGAAACTTCAATGTGTCAGACCAAAAGTTTTTTTCTGGCAGGGAATAAATGCCTCAAAACACTCCCTAGAGAACAAAATGTAGCTGTCACATTGAAGATAATGCATTTAATCTCTTTGTTACATTACAGCAATTTTAATAAGCTTTATTGTACTGTTTCCAAAAAGCAACCCTGAAAAAAAATTCATTTACTAAGTAAGCAGTATGATGGTCCGTACACTTCTACCCACTTAATAATTAGATTAGTGCTTTCAAAATATTCAAAGGCAGCAGTAAATTCCTTTCATAAAAGCTAGCAAACACAGCAAGCACATCAGTCATTCCTCAAAGGAAAGATGACAGCTACTTTCTAATCGGTACCGGCTTTGCTAAGTTTGGATTCAAATGAAGCATGATTTTTAGCCTCCTATCGTAAGCCTTGCTCCGCTCAAGACCAATCATCCTGGTGTCTTTTTTTTTAATATTCATATTGAAATAGTATTTTATCCTTAAAAATGCTGATGATGTCTAAAGTGTGCTCCAATTTTCAAATAATTCTTTAAAAATTTGCTTCTAGAGATACAGATATAAACCTAGTTGTAATATACAAACACAGCTATCTGAACCTCACTTTCCTCTCTTACGCCTTAAGCTAGCGCAAACACAGCATCCGTTTACTGCAACCTCATAATAAACAGCAGAAAATCCCACGAGTATACTGCCATAATAGGATTAAAGTGCAGATCCCATGCAGCCTGTGTGCAGACCTGACCCCCAATTTGTCTAGTACAAGCATTCAGACTGGTATCACTCAATTACTTTGCTGGTAAAAGTACATATTACTCTTTAAAAGGAAGAGGCCAATGTTCCCCTCAAAAATACATCAGAGGTTAGGGAATAGCTGCACTCTAGCATTTTAGTAAACTTGTCGTCTTCCATCTTTCACAAAAACATCATAATTTTAAGAACTCTTTAATTCACAGAATACAGCAATCTATAAAATACTTAGTAATTACTACAGAATATTCTCTTTATTAGAGGCACAAAGGTAGCTACCATGATAACACCTCCAAGCCAAGGCACTGCACTTCTGTTTTGTGGAGAGCGATGCAAAGCTCCCCTGAGGCTTAAGTATTTCTACTATTTCTATTTTTTAGTAGTTTGAACTGCTGAAATTCTCCATCTCATTTGAGCGGGCTGGAAACCACCTTGTATATAATCTGAAAAGTTCAACGGAACAGTAATATTTGATTTCTTACTCATTCAAGACTCTATGAACTGTGCAACCTATTTAACATTAGGGATGATGTATTTGGGTAAAATGTTCAAGGTAGGAGAAGACTGACCACATGAAATGAGGCCAGATGGTGTCATGACCATATATCCAAAGGTAAAATCTCCATGACAAACCAGTATCAACTCAGTCAGTAGCTTGAAGATGACTAAGAATTAATAAATAGAATTTATGAGTAGAATGATAATGGATGCAATCTGAAAAACAGAGTAGAAAACTGTTTAGCTAGTTCAGAATAGAGAAGGAAAACAGTAACTCAACAGTTCATAAGGATAACTGTTTCAGAAGTGCTTCTCACATTGCAGAGTTTTTCTTTTAAATATCTTATGGGCAGGGCTGTTATTGCACCACAGTAGATACATTTAACTTCTTTTCAATAATTTCAAAATACACGTAATTGTCTTTAGGCACACCAGTTTGTAAAACAAAAAGGTATAAACAGTACTTAAATACATTCATAAACTGGCTTTGTTAATAAAACTCCTTTCAGACAGCACACGCTACTTGTCTTGGAAATGACTACTTAGAAAGATGAGCTTTGCAATATTCCCCTGAGGATGAGCAAATATGAATTTTCGTGTGGGTTGGAAGGAAGCAGATTTAGAAATCAGAGACTTGAAAATGCTTCATGGCTTCTTCTCCATCTACAGGTCCCCAGCTAAGGACAGATGTTAAACATATGCTTCAGTCTCTTTCAATTTAGAGAGTCAGTGAAGCATGTTCTCAAGGCTTGCATTCTGCACAGGGATCACTGAAGTAATAGGGAATTTAGTAATAAGTAATACTTACCTCCTAAATAGCAGTTTAGATTAGTAATCTGAAAGTGTTTAATGTATAAAATCACTATCATTAGCTTCATTTTAACAGATGAAAGAGCTGGAGCACAGAAGTGAAGTGATTTGTCTCCAGACATATGTAAGTCCAATAGAAGATATAGGAATAAAACCCTTGGCATCTCAGTCGCAGTTCAAAATTCTGCTTTCTTCCACCATCTAATAATGCGAGTGCCCCTAACGCTTTTACAGAAAAAAAACTGGCACTCTGTCAATATTTCCATTGCAGATCTTCAGATGATTCTCTCAGAACAGAATGGCAATAACTAATCGATCTTCACATCTCTGTTAACACCAGCCGATCAAGCCCATCACAATAAATGGACGTGCTCATTGATTACTACTTCTGTGGAATTATAACCCGAATCTGTCAAAAAGATAGTGGCCCCTATCGACTTGAGATTTCTTCCTCCTTTATATTCACAATTTTGAAATAGTATCTGAATAATCTATATGCCCATGTTTCTGTCCTGAAATAGTTTCCACAGGGACAATAATGCAAATATTGACAAAATGTTTTTGATAAATGCTTCCCAAAGATTTCCCCCACTTTTACTGAATTCTTGACCCAAATTAAGAAAAAACACTCAGACTTACTTGACTTATTACAGATGGAGGAACGAAAGTGCCAGTCAACTATAGTGATTCCCAGCACTTACCTTACAGCATAGAAGTTTCATCAACACCTTCTGAAAAATGCCTAGGGCTAACAACTCTTTCCTTTCAGTGTCCTGAAAGACACACAGGCATTCTCACACTCGTACTCATCTTCTGTTCCCATTGCCAGCGCCTTCAGGACAATTTATCCTAAACAAATTAAATATTTCCTTTATCTTAGGTTATGGCAATAGCAGGCACACAGGAGACATATGTCTGTTACCAAAACTCTGATGACCCCTCACTGATTGATCAGCTACCAAAAGCTTTTCACTGCCTCATCTACTTCACCAATGCAAGATTATTCAGAAAGATGTGGCACAGGATTCTCGGCACAGTAACCAGAAGAAAACAGGCTACCTGATGCTAACATTTCATCGTTATCCCCAGCAATGAAAGGGCTAATATGGAATTTCAGATAGCAACAGTGCAAAGCAGTTTTAGGCAGACCTGGCTGATCACTAGCTGATTTATATTCTGTATGCGTTTAAAGTAAGGGACAGTAATTTTTCAATGGTTATTTCACTATATTCTTGAAAACAGCATGTTAACAAGACTGTATTACTGCTCACGTTCGAAAAAAATCAGATTCTTAGAGGTTCCATTATTTATTTTGTAATTATTTTAACTGTTCCCTCAACAAGAATTTTTTTTTTTTTTTAAAAGATTTCACAGCTTATGTACAGGATTGCCTTTTAACAGCTTCTCTCCGGGCTTCCACAACCTTAATTCACTTGGAAACTGTATATGAACCTCTGTGCCATCTGGTAACTTTTTGCAGTGTAATTATCCTGATAAATGTATGCATGCTATTAGACATTTCCATTAGAGAGGTGACTAATGTTGCTTCTGTATTTACAAATCCGTCTGCAACTTCCTGTTAAAGGTCCATTTTAGGAAGCTAACAGACTTGTTCATTTACATCTTACTAAAACTTGACACCAAGGGTTTTGTCAACGTTATTTATGTGCTACTCTTTATTCAGATCAATTTTCTATCTTATACCACAAAATTTCTTTTGCACTTTTTTTAGTACTCTGCCAAAGGAAAGTTTTGAAAAAAAAAAATACTATTGCACAGTGGAAGGAAAAAATAATAATTGAACTATTTCTTTCATTTTGGAGTTTCAGGAAAGCTAATAGTTGTATATCTTTAAAATCAAGAAAAGATAGCAGATGAAGTTTGTCAGTGTTGCATTTAGTCTGTTTACATAAGACTACTCAAAAAAAACCCTATAAAATCACATGCAGCTCAAGGCCTCCACCCAAATACTCAGCCTTACACTAACTTAATATATTATATCATACTTTTCTGGATCCTGAAGAACAGTGACATCTCCATGAACTAAATCATGACTCGATTTACTCGAGCGCCATTGTGACTAAAAGCGCTCCAGTACACATAAGCGCACTTGTGCTTATATCTGTACGTGTAAAAGTAACACACATTCGATACTACCAGATGCCTTGGTATCTTGCAGATCAGCGTGATACCCCTCCTCCACGGGAGCACTGGTGTTCACTGCTGTTCACTTCCAGGCACTCAAACACATACTCACCGAGCCTTTGAACCAACAGTTGCCTGCATTATTCCCCTCATTAATGCCTTCCCTGTTTCTTTTCCCTTCTCTTTCCACTTCTCCAGCCACACTATCCTCTCCCACCCTAAGTTTCCTCCTTGCCTTCATAGTGGTTTCTGGCATCCCAGGTGAGTAAAACTCAAGCCCTTCATCCAAGGAATACTCACTTATGTAAGTTAGACATTCTCCCACCTGAAATATCCCAGAGCTTCACAAATCAAGTATTCAAAGGAGACTCATGTTTTAAAAAGAGTTCAAAACACACAAGGAGTCACAATCTCAGTCATGTCCCAGCCATCCACTCAAACGTCACTCTGTCTGTAGTCCATATAAACTTGTCACAGAACAGTCAATCTTGTATTGCATCTTATGCGCTGTTCAGCGTTTAATAAAAAGTAGAGAATTTGTGAAGTTGCAAAAAAACGAGAGTGATAGAAGGAAGAGAGCTACAGTTCATTCTCTCCACTTTGAAAATAACAATAGTTTGTGGATTTAGCTCATTTAACACTTGAAAAACTGAGCAACAAGGAACTTGAGAAATGGTTTCTGCGCTTTTCATAGCTGTATAGCGAGTCATGATATTACTTAAAGTTAATACCTTCCCTTAACTTCATCTTACCAAAAGAGACAAATGTTACGATGCTCAGAGCAATATACTTGGCTTTCAAAAGTGCTTCAGAGCAGCCATTCGGTGCACTAATGAATCATATCTAAGCTCTTAAAATATTTAGGCTTTTTTTAAGCCTTTGAAATATAATCACTTATGTAAATATAACATAGCATTATTTCTCAATTTATTACACTTTTGCTAAAGATATTACTTTTTTACAAGAAATATATCTAAAACTCAATTGCTATATCTGTGCTTCCCATTAGTAAAAACTTATAAAGGCAGCAGGGGAAAGCATTTTTCAGAAAGACATTCAGAATCACTGTACCTGAGTCTTGCAGAGTTTTGCCAACAAACCACAATTTCTCAGCTTTGGCCCTACATCATTTAGCACAGTGGCATATAACGTCGTTCTGCTTCAATACTTCAAGTTAGGGTTCCCAGAGGAAAGCTGTCTTTCAGTGTTTTTCTCTCCAGATACTTCTGCAGGTTTCTAAAACCCAGGAGGGAAAGATGCCAGTAAACCCTGAAAAAAATTTTTAATTGTTTATTTGAAATTCATCATTTTGATGCAAGATCCTGATGAATAAACTGAGTATCAGTGGGAAAATTACAGTGCTTCAAGACCATAAGTGCCAGTGCAGAAATATACTAGTTAGACCGTTAAAGATCTTCGACATTTTTAAACTGAACTCCACTGAAAAGGGAGAGTTTTAAATGAAACAGCTGGCTAAATTAGACAAAGTTAAGGAAAAAGTAAAACTTGATATCAAGACAAGCACGTTTATCCTTGTTTAATTCAATCATTAGTAGTCTTTTGCTACTGAATAGCAGCATGCTGGCTCAGCTCTAATTAAGCTAGTCATTATCACAGTCAGATGTATATGGCCTTTAAACTTCTCCCTTATTTCTTCTCCCATTGACTCCCTGGAAGAACATTTGCCGTTTTTATCCAAAGCACAAGCAGGCCAAAATAAAAAGGGATCCTATTTAGGGCTGTTAGCCAAAAGGTTAAAAAGAGAAAGCCTCCAGTACTCCCACAGGATGAGCTCAAGCAGCTGGGCCACGATGATATAGGACGCAGTCAATTCACAGGCTGGGGACGTCTGCCAGCTTGGTGAAAGGAAATGAGCCACCAGAGGATCCCTGAAGTCCCGCCGAGAGCCCTGGAGAGCTCCCTCCTAGCTGTCCATTGACTGCAGATGCTGCTCAGAGGGCACTGACAACTGTTGATGCTACACACATCGGAGGATTGCAACTGAAGGGAAAAAAAAATGTGGTTTTCCTCTATTGCTGCGAAAGGATAAGTCTTCTATACATCTTGATAATTCAGTAAGACACAGAACATTTGCATTTCATTAAATAATTTTATTAGACAGATTGGATCACGAAATACTGTCACAGTATATAGTCTAGGTGATGGCAGAGGGATACAAAACAATATTTTAAATGTCTGCTGTTTGAAAGCAGTTTGAGAAACAAAACAGAACAGGGAAGTACTGTAACATCTGCAGTGTCTCTAAATAAGGATAAGCTCCTATGCAAACCTACCACCCATTATACGTGCATTTTCTGATACATCCAAAACCTGTACTTTGGTATGGACTTCTTGTCCATATAAACAAATTAACCCATATATATTTGAACTGGGGAATATTTAAAACCCAGTAGCATAGAATTAATGATTCTATTATTGTGATGCAAAGAGTATTATCCTTTGTAAAAATAAGGAATTCCCCTAAATGAATTTCCGTGCTTCAATGTAAGTTATTTCCAAGATGAAAGTTCAATCAGGATGCAAATTCTTCTTTGATCCTTCCACTTCACCCACCCCAACCCTGCCCCCTTACTTGTCAATTTATAAACATCTTTTCCAAGTGTCGAGCTCACGACATGAGATGTTTTAATCATAAAGAGCATAGAATTACTTAGAGTAAGCATTAACCTGGCACGCATTAGTGTAATAGGAAGTTAATCGTTATCAGCATTCACACAGGTCAGCTTTTTCACACGGTGATTGTTGTGAAATGATGAAAAAGTATTCAATGGACATAGAAATATGGTAGTCTGGTACTACAGCAATGGATGTTACATAAATAGCTCTACAGAGGCAAATCAGGACATCCCAATAATCCCATTGGGATAAAACAAAAGCTTCCTATAGCGAGAAAGATGTCAATAAAAATCTTCAATAAAATAAAAATAATAGTAATTATACTAGTAACAGTTACCTTAAATTTGTTTTTTTTGAATTGCAGATCACTTTATTTGCCTACACACTATATCTCATTAAGGATCACATAAAGCAAAATAAGGTATACATTCCACATAGCAAGTGATGCCATACAGACAAAACAATTGCAGTCGGAATGACTGAAGTTGACAGGAGTTTTTAGGAATGACTTTAGAAAAATTCCTGAAGGAGAGCTATCTGGCTTCAGAAAGCAAAAATCTGCCCCAAACTTAGAATCAACTAGTACAAATGTTTAACAGGGCAGCTGCTTTTTACAGCATGCCTTGCAGTCCTAGTTCTCCAAACATGAAGCTCGTGGGATTTCAGGAGCATGTTGCACTTGCCCTCCCCTTCTAAGCACCTTGTGTCCCATTGCATGCCTACAGACCAGAGTGAGAGGAAGAGTAGCTGGCAGGGTATGGTCTAACAGTGTTGACACTCAACTGAAAAATAGTATTAAGTCACACAATGTGAAAACAAGCACAGAAAAGCCAAATATTTGGCAACAGAAGGGTGCTCTCTATGTCTGGGAGGAACAAGTGGGAATTTACTTGCAGATTTACCAAAATTTGCCACCAAGCAGCTCAGTGCCATGCTGTTCTACCAGCAGGCATGTATCTAAAAAAGTTGCAACACTACATGTCAAAAGGCCCAACTTCTGTTTCCGAGCTCAATTTTTCTTTAGAAGTGTCTGATCTTCACTTCTCCAACATGTACAAAAAGCATGCAATGTTATAGTCCATATTCAGAAATGTTCCAAAACATACAAACCATAGATTATATAGGGTTATTCTTTATCCATTCTACAACTACACAAATATCAATGAAAATAAGGATGTGACTGATCTGTTGTACAGCAGCATTGAGACAGAACGTGTCAAGCTATTGAATTACAAGTTGTTGGGTTTTTTTCCTCACAGTAGAATTCTTTTTATTCTGTTTCAGCCACTAACAAAAATCACGGATTATTTAGTGGTTCCTGTCAAGGTTTTTATAAATATATATATACACATACACACAGTCTTTATAATATATATTTCTATAACAATTATATATAATTTTAAATATATAGTTATATACAATTATATGCATCTTGTATTTACACATAATATATAAATTATGTGGTGTAATTAAACAGTTTATAGGTAACACATTAAAAACTATATTTTTTTATATATATATAATTAAAGTTTTTCAGAAAAAGGCAGATGAAATTTTTTGTTCTTTCCAGTAAGCTTTGCAATGATTTTTAAAAAGGGCTTCTAAAGAAAATGACATTCTGAACAAAATAACTCTTTGCAAAAGAAAGACATCTGAAGTGGTTTTTTTTTAATTCTCCTAAAAATTTTCAAGGAAAAAAAAAAAAAGAGATTTTTAAATATCTCAGGTAACACTGAACACATTGGGCCTCCCCGCCCTCCTTTTTTTTTTTTTTTTTTACCCGGAATACTAATAACCATAAAAAATAAAATCCTCCTACTGAAGTCATCACATGAATAGAAAAATTCTTTATATTGGAATTCTTATTTTCCCTTCCAAATCAGAGCTATACTCTGCTATAAAGGAATCTTATAATTGTATCCAAACTGGTAGCAGGGGAGAGGGAGCATGGGGAGACAGTAAGGACAAAAGGGAGCAGTTTCCCATTGCACAGAGGCAGTTACAGTAACGATTAAAGAAATACAGTGGGTGTATGGCAGATGGGCTCTCAGGACATAAAAACCATCCTTTGTTGGCTGCACAAAAAAGTATGCAAGTGTTTGGAACACATGAAGAGCACACTGTTATAATGCAGTCAGAAGACAGAACGAGACCATTTCTAGATGATTTGTAGAATACGAATGGTGCACCTTCCTCATCAGATTAATTGAGAACTAGGAAAGAGAGCAATTGTGCAGATGTCACTGAATGCTGCACAGATATGCACAGCTGTCAGCAGCAGGTATGGTGTCATTGTGTTTAATGCTTACATTGCCTGCATGTGACAGCCTCAGTAATGAAATACTAGTTAGGAATAGAACAGAAATATAGCTCCTTGCTCCAAAGGAATTAGATGGGTTCCAAATCACCTAGAAACAGCTGCCAGGAAATTGGTAGAGTTATACAAATAGAGATTTT